CGGGAACGGCTCCCTCCCACGACCGCACCCGGGACTGCGGGCGGCTCTGCCGGCACCGCGGGGCTGCCGCCGCTCCGCACCCCGGGACGGCATCCCAGCTCCTGCATCCTGGCATCCCAGCTCCTGCATCCTGGCATCCCAGCTCCTTCCTGCATCCCAGCATCCCAGTTCCTGCATCCCAGCTCCTGCATCCCGGCATCCCAGCTCCTGCATCCCGGCATCCCAGCTCCTTCCTGCATCCCGGCATCCCAGTTCCTGCATCCCAGCTCCTGCATCCCGGCATCCCAGCTCCTTCCTTCATCCCAGCTCCTGCATCCCAGCATCCCAGTTCCTGCATCCCAGCTCCTGCATCCCAGCATCCCAGTTCCTGCATCCCAGCTCCTGCATCCCAGCACTGTATGCCAGTATTCCAGCTCCTGTATCCCAGACCCTGTACCCCACCACTTCCCCTTGCATTTTACCTCCTTTCCAGCCACATTTCACCTTCCATCTGCTCTGTGTAACCTTACCCTCCTCTCACCTTACTGAGCATTCAGTGAACAGTACTGATTATTCCTCCCTTATTTTGTGACTGTACAGAGGGGAGTTGGTACTGCCTTGTGCAGCCCACAGGCATATGGATCCGCAGACACACTATAGATTCAGGGGAATAGTGTATATCCCCGGGTCTGCAACCAGCCAAGTGGATGGGTATTTCTCATTGCTTTGACTCTGCTTCTTTACATCTCCTGGCCCTGCCGGAGCTGTGGAAGGGATGTGCATAGGAGCTTGGATGGGAGATTGGGAATATCCTGTATTTTATTCTACAGCTGAATACCAGGAATAAAGTATGAAGGAGTTTCAGTAACGCCTTACCAAATTATACTCCCCTCTCCCAGGGTACACAAGCCATCTAAGATTTCCTGTGACTTGGTTTATAAAATTCTTTTAAGTCACCCACCCTACAAGGGTCTCTGAAGGACCAGTTAATACACAAAACTAAGTTCTACTAAATCTTGATGCTGCTCCATGACTTCAGATGACATATTTCTTGTTCCTTACATAAAGAAGGAGTCTACTAAATGCAGACTGAGACAAGGATCTTATATTTTATAGGATTCCTACAACTAAGAGTACAACGAAGAGATTCAAACCTCCAGACCCTTGCAGTATCTGCATGTCCTGATTTCTAAGAGGAACTTGCCCGGGAGGATGGATAAATCATGGAGAATCTGGTGCACCCCACACACCAACCACCCCCCGTTGGTGGCTGGTAACACTGCATCCTCTGGACTCACTGTTGGAGAAGGAGGCTGTGGATATCTTGAAAGAATTGCAATCTTTCTCTGATTTCAGTAGTTGAAACACTTTTGAGGGAAGCAGGTGCTCACTGCACTCCAGGAATGAGTAAGTCATGTATCAAAGTAGCTTGGCCTTGCTGGAAATCCCCAAAGAAAAACCAAAGTCTACTTTCCTGATGTCATGTCAGTATAGTGAGTGCACAGACACTACAGAGATGTGGAGATATGGCATAGGATGGGAGAAAACCCTTCTGGCACTTATTGCAAAATAAAGCTTTTATAGTGGTGGCAACACTCTCTGGTAATGCATAGTCAGTGCCCTGAGCCCACTTGTATTACAAGTGTCCTGTACGAAGGGAGAGTATTTTTAGAGAAACTGGGTGGCATTTAGGGGGTTTACCCTACAGAGCAGAAAATCCCCTGCAGCTCAAGCAGACTTTGGAACCTGCAGCCCTGCAGCATCTGCAGAGCAAGCCAAGTGCTGTGCCTGCACACCAACAGCCTGGTGCTGCCAGGAGCCCAAACACTCAGAATATTCATGATATCTCTCGAGATCTGCCCCTCACTGACCTAGCTGTACTTTTCAAAGTGGCACTTACAATTATTGATGTCAGCAAGTTTTGTCTGTGTGTGTTCAAACCGTTTATTTGGTGACAGCTGCGTTTCTGAGAAGGCAAGTTATGGAGAAAAAATAGTTTTATAGAGACATTTCCGGTTTTTGCTCTTCTGAGTCAGCTTATAACTGTTTTCTAATTTTATTTCTCCAAGTAACTAATAGAATCTTAGAATCTTAAAATGGTTTGGGCTGGAAAGGCCTTTAAAGATCATCTCATTCCAACCCCCCTGCCATGGACATGGACACCTTCCATAGCCCAGGTTGCCCAAAGCCCCGTCCAACCTGGCCTTGAACCCTTCCAGGGAGGGGGCAGCCACAGCTGCTCTGGGCAACCTGTGCCAGGGCCTCACCACCCTCACAGGGAAGAATTTATTCTTTATACCTAATCTAAATCTACCTCTTTTTAGTAGAAAGCCACTACCTCTTGTCCTATCCCTACTCCCCCTGATCAAGATCCCCTCTCCATCTCTCCTGTAGCCCCTTTCAGCCCTGGGGGGCCGCTCTAAGGTCTCCCCGGAGCTTCTCTTCTCCAGCTGAACCCCCCAACTCTCTCAGCCTGTCCTCACAGGGGTGCTCCAGCCCCCCGAGCATCTTCGTGGCTTCCTCTGGACCCCTTGAGCAGGTCCATGTTCTTCTTATGTTGGGGGCCCCAGGGCTGAAACATTTCAGTGCAAGCCAGGAGAAGCTGAAATTACTAGAGTTCCAGGACTGATCAATGGATATGTTCAAACACAGCACCTAATTGTCTTTGCACTAGTAACAGTGTAAATTAGATGAGTTCAGAAATAATGTGAGAAGGAGGAAAAGCAAAGCCACATTTGGTACTAAGTACCAAGGAGACCATGCTGGTTTCATTGTCTGCTGTGATGCACAGATGCTCTAGATCAGGCTGCTTTAAGGAAGCCTGCTGATGAGGAAGAAGTCTTAGTAGGAAGCCATTTAAGCTATTTTGTCCTAAAGAAGCTATCAGGAGATAATTTACTTTAATTTTCCTGTCCCCTTTTACCATAAGATGAGCATCCAGAGGGTGCAGCCATGAGGAAAAGAGCCAGACTATCTCCATGAGCTTAATGCAGCTTTTCCCCACTGAGCCAAAGGGGACGCACCGCAGGACTGGGACTCAGAGGCGCTGCAGCCTCACTGACACTCCCATGATTTCCACGTGTGGGGCAAAGTGGAAAGATTCATCAAACCACAGTAGGACCCTGTCCAGCCAGGAGGAACCCAAGGGCTGTGGCACATGTGGACTCATGGGCTGCTGCCAGACAGATCCAAGATGCGACTCTGCCTGTGGAACTCTCCTCACTGCCGGCTGCCTCAGCTTCCCCACCTCTGAGAATGTATAACAGGAGCACAGACAAAGGGCAGCGAAACCACGAGCTGCAAGTGGTATGCCAGAGTGCAGAGTGTTGCTGCCCAGACATGGAAAGCCCCTCAAATGAGGTTTCTGAAGTTGTCCTAGTACCAGTCACCTCTTACAGTGAGATTCCTCTTCAGTGTGTATGGCATCACAACTGGCTGGAGGCTGAGTGTGGACAGGCCCAAGAGCAGGTCAAAAACCAGAGCTTATTTTATAAAGTAAAGAAGTATGGACAGGCAACCAACAGCTTTTGATTCCTCTGCACACCCCCCCCCCCCCCGATTTAAAATTAGGCAAGGTGCTTTCATACATCTGTCAGCATGCTGGATGTAGCAGAACTTGCCTGATTTTATTTCCCAGCAGCAGCTATCTGAAGTTGCTGTATCTGTCTTTAACTCTTTCCTTTTCAGTGTCCTGCAAAGAGCTGGTGCTGAGGGCTGTGCCAGCTGAGCGATGCTGTGACAAGTGCCAGCAGGGTGTCATCCTCTGCTTGGCTCAGTGGCAGAGCTGGGCTCTGCTGGTGGCTGTGCCTGTCACACATGCACCGAGTGCCTTCAGTCCTCAAGAGAACAAGGACTGTCACTCTGGTCTTGTGCATTGAAAGGGGACTGAACTCAGCTGCCGCTTTTAGCTCCTTCCAAAAATGGAAACTTCAGAAGTATCCCTTTCTTTCCTCCACATTTAGGAAGAACTTCTTATGAACTCATCACTACTCACCTGACTACTGCAAACCTTGTAAAGTTTAAGGCCAAAACTGTTCAGGTCTCTAGACTGCTCATCAGTATAGCATAGGTCACATAATTCCATGAGCTATTATTCTATATTTATATCTATATAAATCTATACATCTGTAACTTGAGTTTTAAGTATTGGAGAGACAAAAGATCGAACATTCAGCATTTTGTGACAATACTGATCATCTCATTATTGATTAAATCAGCAACCAGCCCCCATTATGATGAACTGGAATCTGTCGAGCTGCAGTTTCCCCCGGATGCTTGCCTAGGAGGATGTGTGTGCACTCTTTCTAGCATTTACAAGCCCAGGCTTGCCAAAATGTTTCAAACTGAGAAACAAAGCTCATCTGCCCTGACATCCCAGGAGCAGACAGAACTTTATACAGTTTCACATATATGCATGCAAACACATACATGTACTGAAGCTGAGAAGGCAAAAATCCATGAGGTCTAAATGTGAAATGCCCACTTCTGCAGAAGCCACTATCATGGGATTTGTGATTAACAGCCCAGCCATTTCATTAGTGCTGCACTGGGACAATTCCAGGCTGGAAGAGACCAGATTTAGTTGCAGAAGGACAAACTGCCCTCAGAGGTATGGATGCAAATCTAGGAAGATTTATTTGCTTCACTGTCTTCACCCTGATTTACTCTAGGGTAGCAAGGATGTGAATGCCACCTGTATTATATTCATTTCTTCAAGCCAGATTTTTATTTGGAAAGCTATTTTCCATTGAAACTGTGAATGCGGTGCTGGATTTCCTTTCCTGGTCTGTCCATCAACTGCTAATGGATCTTCCTGCCAGACAAAAATATCTTTAAATAGCGTGTGTGTGCGCATATGTATCTGCAGGTTTTTGCTTTTATAAATGAGAAGATATTTTGGTAGCATGTTTTCGCAGTTCAAAATAACAAGAAAAGCCATCAGTCCGGGATTACAATGTTTACGGGAAAACAAGGCTCAGAGAGGACAGCAAGGAGATGATGAGGGCTGAACTCCTCCAGACGTTAGCACATCATAAATTTCTCCGTGACTTAGGTTTTCCTCTGCAGAATGAAGCTAACAATAATACCTCGCTGGCCCATATTGATATATGATTTGATATTTATGAAATACGGATGATTTTCCACAGAGAAGTATTTCCACAGAAAGAATATTTCACAGACATTTAGTTCATGATGAATTTAATTCTTTCCCCCTGTTGCTCAGATACTCCACTGACAATGGCACAGAGGATTTGAGGAGATTGATACCATTTTTCACGCAAACATTTAATTAGCTGACATTGCATCGTTCTCAGTTACTGCTAGCAGATTCCTGCAAACCCATCCATTGAGAAACGACAGCTGAGTCAGGAACGTAAACCTTCTATAAATCTGCTTTAGTGCCCACTGGTGTTTAGCTAATAATAGAATATAATCTCATTGGCAATCTAAATTAAATGACCATGTTTTTCCTGCTTTAATATTACAAAATTAATTCAGAGATGTAGCCAGGTCTGGACCACTGCCCATTTGCATCATACTACAGTCTCTGCCTGAGTGCATCCCAGCTGTTCCCACTAGTACAGCCCCGCATCCCCCACTAGCATCTCTGAGATGTTTTGCAGAAGTAGGTACCATCAGCCTCCCCGTCAGTACTGACACAGGGCTAGAGCAAGGCTGGCAACTTGGCAATGCACGGTTTTTGCTTGTTTGCCCATTTTTACAGTGCAGGGCTTCGGAGCTCTGGTTTGAACAAGGTGTGTATAAACAACATCCAAATTACACTATCAACATCTGGTCTGCCTGAGAGTCAGGCACAGATCCAAATCTAACCCCACAGTAACTTCAGCCTCATCACAGTCCCCATCCTGCATTGTTTCGGATGCTTCTGGATGGGGCCTTGCAGCAGTCGCCACAACTCCCTGCTTAGAAGTCAGCAAGCGATGCCTGGCAGCGTATGACAGAGCTCCCTGCCGAGGGGCCCTCAGTAAATTACCCGCTGGGATATATTAATCAATTAGCCTTGCTTTACGCATTTTAAGAGAAAAATAAAAGGCCATTGTAATTCACTCACACTTTAATGCTCTATTACCCTGCCAGAGACATACAATAGAGACTGGCAGGCAATAAGGGGCAGGCTGATAGAGCACTTATACCCATTGCAAACAGCTTTCAGCAACTCTTTCTGCCTTGTGGGGTTTCTCTATCATTCCCTCCTTTGTCTTTCACTAATGGCATCATCTCAGATTTAGCAGCAGAAGTCAGAGCAAGAGGGTGCCGGTAATTGATATTGACCCAAAGACAGAAAGGCTTCTGGCTAAAGAGAATGGCATCTTGTACATTCCTGGAGAGAGCACATTCCTCCAGCCTGGAATCTACCAGTTATTGATGAGGAGGAAAAGCAACTGGCACAGGTTGCCTGATATGAAATTGTATATATATAAAAATATTGGATTAGAGACCTCTCCTCCCTGCCCTGGGAATGCCAGCATCGCTCAAGCTTTGCTTTGAAATGACAGTGACCTACAGATCCAGTCTCTGTGGCTGCTCCTGTGTCAATCATTAGACTCCATTCTGACAGCTTTCACTACCTCTTCCTAACTGGTGATGAAACTCAGCCATGAAAACCAGCACAGTTGTGGTGACTTCTCTGAGGTTACGCTGTTATTCAAGAGCAGGGGTTCTGCTCTGGGGCTGTACTGCCTCCCAGCTGCTGGGGACTCTCCATCATCTCGGGGACCGTGGACAACAAGGCTGATGCTTTGCAGCCCATTAGGTTTGCAAAGCTCCTTTTTGCTCACCTTTGGGGGTGCACTGAAGTGGGGCTGTGATGTGACTCTCCAAACGTCCTTATCCAAATCTGCTCTGTATGTTCAGACCCTGCTTTATTTCTGAGGAACTTTAGGTACAAAGTAAAGCACTGGAAGACTTAAGAAGGATTTAGAAAGACTTGAGGAGCTACTCTAGGAATTGTAAAACATAAAAAATGATCGTTAGGCAAGGTGGGAAGTTCTCAGGAAGGACAGAGTGTCAGGCAGGGACTACTTTGAGACCTGTGGGCTGGAAAAAGCCCGATACAGAAGAGTCCCAGATTTGAAACCTATCCAAGAGAGCATATGTGTTGCCAAAAACCTGTGTGCAAAAACACACTGCAGAAAAGATGGTTACATGATTAGGACTCTCTGGACCTTGAACTTCAATTTTCCATTCTACTAATGCTTCTAGATGAACACTGTGCTTCATTTTTCCCATCTGTAGAGTGGGAGGCGATGGTATCTCCTATCCTTCAGGACCAAGTATGCAAGAAGTCAAAATACTTGGTGTGTAACCAGGGAGACAATGTCAATTAAATAAATAGTGCTCCTCCTAATTTATACTAAGGAAAAGCAGAATCTTGGTACACTGTCTCTGCTACTCTAGTTAGACAGTCTTTTCCTATTTTGAGCTCCCTGTGCTCATACTCTACCTGTCTTAATGTCTTGCTCTGTCCCTCTTGCTGCTGCTCTCCCTTTGCTCCTTATAGACTTCCCCCATCCCTCCCCATTTTCCCCACAAACAGTAGGAAACACATGACTGCTCCAGGTCAGAGGACTACAAGAGGAGTTTCAGTTGTTTTGAAATATGTGCCAACACACTTGCACCCATGCATTGTGAAAACAGGGACGTTATGCCCACATGTGTAAGAGTCAGCCCTTAAATAAGACCTAATAGACCGATGTTCACATCCTCTGGCAAAAAGGCTCTCTTGCAGAGACACCTCAGGGCAGATTCAGACATACTTGTTATTTCCTCACTCATGTGCTGGTTTCCGGAGGTAACGAGTAATTTGAAAGCTTTTTTTTTTTTTTTTCCTCCACTACCTTGGCTTTTCACCAAGAAGAGACTTTATGTGAAAAATTAAGGTGTGCACAACTGGCTTATTTGTGATCCTGGGCAATATTTTCACTAAAAAAGAGACAAATGCATATATATAATCAGTTTAGGTGTCTTACCTGTGCTCATAGGTTTTGCGATGCCCTCTGTGGCAGGATCAGCTGCCTGAAAGAGAAGTGAGAGAAGGATGGTTATTCTGGGAGCATACCCATGTCCAAGTATGACCCTGCTTTAAAGTGAATCTTAGAAGTTTCCATTGCATGCTATGAAGGCAACACATAGCCTGATGCACAGGGAGCCAGCACCAGGCACTACAGAGGCTCCTACAGAGCCTCGCAGGTCAGCAAGGGATTGTTGAGGAGCAAACAGCTCCAGCAAGCTCTCAACTCATCCAGGTATCATCCTCAGTCATCCCCCATCAATCCCTTTTTTTCTAACATAGAAAATCTACATTTCTGACTCAGTGAGCAACTTTCTCAGTGCTGTAAGAAATGTGTGTAGCTTTTCTTGCATCTGTTTTGGAAGCACAAGCCCTGAAAACCTCACGGCTTGCAAAGCTTGGAGAGAGTAGGACAGAGGGGGACTAGACACCCTAGAGAGCCAGTGTCCATCCCTGGAAAGCCACTGTCCAGATGAAAATAAAAGCTGTAGAGCCCCAACACAGGTCTGGGAGTGACAGTGTTGTCCTGCTTCAAGTCTCCTCCTTCTTGCTGGGATGTAAATCCAAGGGTCAAAACGACATGGGGAATTGTTCTCAATCAGCATGGCCTGAAAACTGCTCAGGAAATGTGCTTCGAGTGTGACATATGGTAGGCTTCATCTGTGGTCTTTGTTTTATCACATCTCTCTGCTGTATGAACATAAAACCCTGAAGACTGTGCTTGCCTACATATTACTTGCACACAAGTGAAGTTACTGACAGCCCGTAAACATCCAGCAATGCCCTCGGGGAGCAAACAGACTGTCCCAACAGCTGAAGAAAGATACTGGTAGTGCCTCAGTGCTTGAAACTCCGTGTTGTGTCTCTTCACTCACACACACCAGGAGTCCCACAATGATTTCAGTGTCAGGGAGTGGGTTTTGCTCAGGCTCACCTAAAAAAGGCTCTCTTAGCTGGATACCAACTACCGGGACTGACTGTGCAGGCTACGCAAGCCAGGACCAATTTAACGTATCCAAGAAGAAAGTTGGGAGGTGGCACCAGCTTTGGCAGAACATTTAGTAATCTCTGGGGAGAAATGAGGCAGAACATGCATATGGTAGTAGCCATCCTCACCCACAGTGGTCTTAAACCATAATCACTTTCTTCTGGGTGCAAATAGGATAACGTGTGGTGCAGGGAGGAGGAGGATGGCTGGGCAGTGATAGAAGTCATGTTGTGTCTGTGGTATTTAATGTTCTAGTCTTAAATGTTTAAGAAGAATTTTAATTAGACTTTGGCCTAATGTGACCATGTTTTCAACCATGGCTGAAGTGTAGAGCTGCATCTGATCCCAGTAGAACAATGTTCTCCTTTGGTCTAGCACAAAATGCCCTGTCCTGTGACCAGAGATGTCATAGGTGCTTCAGGATTTGGGTATCTGTAATAGCTGATCTGTTTCTTTTCTTTCCCCACACCTATGTAAGACAGGGCAGAAGTTATCTGTTGAGACAAAGTGTTTCTCCAGGTGATCTTCCTAAGCTGTACAGGAAGGCTGCTGCGTTAGGAGAACAGGAATCTAGAGCTGTACTTTGAAAAAACACGCATTTCTGAGATTTTTATCCCCTACACTACATCCTCCGTCCCAAACTCTCATGGATCCTGTGCACCCGTATCACCAAATGTGGGACTGGAACAGTCTCAGCTGAAAATCCTCCCAAGGCCCATCTATCTGCCAGAGCCTCTCATCTCCTGTCTTGGGCCCTTGCACCGGGCTGTCCCTCTCACACGCGCTCAGGGTGCGGGGAGGCATTACTTTTCAATGCAATGTATGAGCATTTCTGTCCTCTGCAGAGAATTAATGACATTTTTGCATGGGAGAAAGGTGGTGCTCTGTCCCCAACTAGGTTATGCTAAATGAAATCCTCTGCTGCCTGTAGAGAAATATTTGGTGAAGTGATTGAGACATTAACATCGGTGAGGTGTCCCCCTTGCAGCCCTCCCTCGGAGATGACATGCAGGACAAGGCTGATGGCTCACAGCTTGCTTTGTAGTCAGGGCAACAGGAACAAAATTAAAATGTACTAACGTATTGTGTTCTCACCTGGGAAGTCTCCCAGTGGGTGAAAACAGCAGATACTAATGCAATTTATTTTTGTGACTATTGAGCAGATATTAAAATAAACTTTTGAGCTTATTTTGAAATATTACTGACATTACTTCTTCCTTTTCCAACAGCAAAAATATCACATGTAACACTGCAATTTGGAATGCAAAGAGGCACACAGTAGGAGCACAAAGAGATTAAATTCTACAGTGCCAGCTCAAGAAGAATTCATGACAATGAGTTTCACCCTGTCTGGAGCGATCTGGGTGCTGCTGCTGAAGGATCTCAGTCTTTACTCAGCAAGCAGAATAATTTGAGTTTTCTTCATTAGAGAAAATGATAATCAGGTGCCAGTGAAAGTAATTTCTTTCTTCTTTCACTTTATCATTTTACAAGAAATTTTCCCAAGCTGACTGGTGCTGCTAGAGGGTCATTCTAATGTTCTGTGTGAGAACTCTGAATATTAATTTAACCATAGGTCTTTGAAGTGTGTATCTGCCTCTAGAAAGTCCAGGAAAACACACCTCCAAGCCACAGTCCACCAGAAACTGGCCTGGGGTCAGCTTAACTAAGTCCAGGTCTCTTCCAAGAGCACGTCCGCACAGCAGCTTTGCGAGGATGAGCTCTTTGGACTGCTGTCCTCGAGGGAAGCTTTGCAATTTGGAAAAAAGCCTCAAGGCTCTCCCACATTTCTGCTCAGCCTCAAACCACCCGTACCTGCCACTGGCTGAGGGGAAGGCAGGTGTGACCCTGCGTTGCCAAGAGGCAAAGGTAGAAACTAGACATGAAAAACTCCAGAAAGTGGAGCACTGTCCCTGCAGCTGATCTGATAATGAGCATCACAGGAAACAGAGCCCTGTGTGAAATTCAGTTTTTCCAGTACTGACAAAACCTATTAAAGTGACGCCTCTAGACAGCAGGTGACTGTCACTGTACAGAATACCAACGGCAAGAGCTGGAACAGCGCAGTTTTCTTCTAAAATGCATCAGTGGTTTTCCTGTGGGGTTCAACGAGTGGGAAATGTGCTTTTAGGGGCAATTTTCTGTGGGTTTTTTGTCAGGGTTGTCCGCCAGAGGGGGCCAATAGGCACCGATTGGGGCAGCCCGTGAGAAGACAATTTTTAAGCAGACAGAAATCACCCATAGCTAGTGCAGGAACGTGCTAGGTGCTGTACGAGGCATTTCTGGTTACGGCAGTCTCACGGCTAAAGGGGCTTTACAATTTTAACTCCAGCAGCCTTGAAATCTACATCAGCAAATACAAATAACTACACTGACTTTTAGCTTTTACCACATCGGTTCCTTAACCGCGCTGAAAAGATTTGCCCATGCAGTTTGGGAGGTTAAAAATATAAAGTTTACAAAATCCAGAGCAGTGACAGTCTGTCCCAAATTATGGACTTTCAATGTTCACACAGAATTTGTCCACAGAGGCAGGTGGCCTAGGTGTCTGGTACGGCTAAGATTTGCTAGGGTCTGTGTGTCTTAAAAGTACATTTGTCTAGTCCTTTCTGTCCATACTCCTTCATTGCTTTTACATACATGTCTCTATATATGCAAATATCTACATAGAAGTGTATACATACATATAACCAGCAGCACTGAAATGTGGCAGGCAAAAGGTGGAGGGTTTTCACACTCTTAGATCAGTATTAAGAAGAAAAACAAAGGCTACAGACCACCATACAGTGACTACTGTTATTCCAGAGAAAAAATAAAGTCACCTGTGAAAGATCAAGGCAAGTGAATGGCCTGAAGCTAAGGGTTTCTGCAGATGAAAGCTGAAGAAATTAACTGACTTCAGCACTGCATCTAGTTAGTTCCAAAAAACATATTTTAGTTCCAAAAAATGACATTTCCCAGGTCTGACACTGACGTGCTGTGACACCCTTTTTGAAAACAAGGCGTAAAGGAAATTTCTTGGTGTATCAGAAAAAAAGGGATGGAGGGATAATGTGTATTAGAAGTGCTGCTAGATTCAGAGAAGCAGCTTTGGAATCATAGTTGCTTTTTTGTTTTGGTCTTTCATGTTGGATTTCCCTTGTTCGGAGCACCTAGATTTTGGGTGATGAGAATGCCTTGCTTCTATACAGTTTGGTTTTCCCTTTCCAATGTGTCTTCCTTCATCTTAAACTAGGCGAGTGTGAAATCATCATAAAGAAGTGAAATGGCCAACTCCCATGTACCTGCAGGGGGGCTAGGGGACGGTGTGATCTGCTTGCCACCAGAAGCCTCCTCTTATTGCAGTGGTACCCGAGGCTTGGCTCACAAGGCCTGCCTTGTCCCTAAGACTCTCCAACACTCCTTTGAACAGGGGAAAGTAAAAGTTTCTGTCTCAGCTCAATATAGGGAGGTCATGAAGTTGTCACCATTGCTCTTGTGGTCAAGGACCGCTCCTGTAATCCAGCAGACAACATCTGGAGAGAAAACCAGATCTTTCCAAGTGGTTGATCACACAAAATATTGGTCTTCTCTTCAGAAGTTCCAAAGAAATTAATTAAGCCATTGGTGATGCTTTTATTCCTACAGCAACAGGAATCAATATCCACAGGGGTCCAAGTACAAGAACCCCCCCAGACGCCTTGTCCTGGAGCTACTGAAGTCAATATTACAAGATGCTCAGCCCAGACACAACTGTATTTACCCGAGGAGTTTGTGCCTAACCTTACACTGACAATCTGACTGTGAGCTGGTGGTTTTGGAGTAAGCTCTGGAGTTTCTTGAGGAACCCGTCTCACAGAATCAACACTTGTTCTCTGGTCTGGAAATTCAAGACCAGTCATGGATGGAGGGTGACTATGCTGCTTCGGAACTTGGGGCCTTTCAGCTCCCTGAGAGCAAGAACACAAGTTATGCTTTTGCGGCCAAATTCTTCTCTCAGTGTAAAATTCCTGCTCGATTTTATTTGTGTCTCACACCTCAGCTTCCTACTTTCTCCTTTAGCCAAGCTCATTTCCAAAGCAGCTGCAATAATGTCATTACTCTTTTAAATGAAAACCTTGACTCTTTCAGTAATATTGTTTCTCTGGCAACTAGTGTAACTGCGTTTATCCTGATGGAGAGGTAATGTAATGCTTACTTTCATAATAAGTACAAATGAAAGCCTCATTATATAGGAAAGCTGTGGCAATTCTGTAATTACCCAGGCTGTTATTTTAAAGATCTCCCTTAATGTCCCACTATTTATCATTTGAAAACCCTCATGTCTCATTCTAACTGTGCCCAAACTGCTTCTCTTTTAGAAGAACACTGATTTCAGGTAAATGACTCCTCTTTGGTGAAACTTAAAGGAATATCAGTCAAGCCTTCATGGTTTAATTTCTGGGTAATGTGCATACACAGACACACAGATTGCAGAGGGTAAATTTAGTAAGTGAAAATAGTGAGCTGAAAGGTCATATTTTGTTTTCCATAGCTAACTTCCTCCAGCAGCCCCATGCTAGTGCTTTCATTCTATGAATAGTAGTGAAGGTTCTTCAGCACTTAGATTTTTGCAGTAAGATTTCAAAGACTGTAGAACCTGGCATTTTAACCTGGTAAAGTTCATTGTAAGATTAGAAATGCACTTTTTATATTCACAACCACATGTACCTCTGCCTTGGCTGTAACAGTCTCACTGATTCCCCTGTTCAACCCCAGATCCACTTGAGAGCAGTCCTCTATTTTAAGAAGGAAAAAATGTCTGTAGGCAGAGGGAACAGTTGTTTCTGTGAGATCTTGCCTCATTTATATCCTCATCATCCTTACTATAGCTCTACTTTTGCACTGAAAATCACACCCAAGAACAGGACTCTCAAAAAGGAGAGCAGCAGTGAGATACTTTGCCCCATCCACTGCTCTGGGTAGTTCAAGAGAGCTCTGCTTCACATCACGGTGCATTCCAGCAGACAGTCACACACAGTGTCACACACAGACATGCTTTGTGTTACGTCTGTTACTGAAATTTATCATTATTTCAAAGGAACACGTGTAGACCCTACCAGACCAGACCATCTCAGACAGTGGTTGCTCTCCAAAGAAGCAACAGGAGACACATGTAAAACCAGGTAGCAGACACTGAGGCACTGATCTATCTTCTCTCTACCTCTTCTCCCAATTAGGCAGGACAGAGGGTGGCTTGCATCTTGGATTATGAGCTTTCCACTTCCATTTACAGAGTAGAAATTGAATGCTAGAAATTAATGCTGTCCATGGAGAAAGGTCCTCTTTTTTTGAAAGTTATTTTCTCTCCCTTTGTTTCATCTTTCTCTCCCCTAATTCAGGTGTGCGCATTTATAACAGGGGACAATGACTGGTTTTCAGAATAAAGTTTGGAGAGAAAGAAAGAAGAAAGAAAAAGAAAGAGAAAGAAAGGAAGAAAGAAAGGAAGAAAGAAAGGAAGAAAGAAAGGAAGAAAGGAAGAAAGAAAGAAAGAAAGAAAGAAAGAAAGAAAGAAAGAAAGAAAGAAAGAAAGAAAGAAAGAAAGAAAGAAAGAAAGAATAAAGAAATTTCTTACCGTCCTCTGAACGACTAAGACCATGATAGTGGCTAATGCAAAGATGAGTAACGCAGCAAGGGTAGCGATGGTGAAATACAAACATGTCTTGTTAGTGGTTCCAAGCCTGCTTGAAACGGTGTCTTCATTCCCATGCATGGCTGATTCATGAGAGTCCTTCACCTGAGAAAGTGTTTGCTCTTGTGCCGAGCACATTCTTATATAGCTCTCAGGGTTCTGCTCTGTATCTCCCCTTGATCAGGTTCAAGTTGCAGCCCATCTCTGCTCCTGGCAGGATTTTCCCCCTTCATCCTGGCTCATGTGATCTGGAAAAAAAAACTTCATCACTTGTAGTACAAAGAAAGAGGGACCTGGGGGCGTGAAGCAGGACGCAGCTGTGAAGAGGGGAAAGAGCTTCATGTCTTGATCAGGGATTTCTCCACGGCAGTCTCGTATGCTGCATCGGAGGTTTCTGATGTCAGAAGGTGAATAGTTACCAAGATCAGTTGTGCCCCCTCCCCCCGCCACTAGCTTTCTGTGAAATGGAGAGCTATGCAAATTCTGTTTCATTTTATACTCAGGACAGCTACAGTTCGGTACAGTAAATCACCCCGGAGCTCTGCCTTCCTGTTGCACAGAGTAACCTCTTGGTCTTCCTTGTAGCGTCACAGAGCTGCAGTCTCCAGAGCCGTGTTCGGAGGTGACCTAGGCTTTGTGTTTGGTGACCATTGCTCTTGTCTGTGAAGATCTGGAGATGTTTGGTAAGATTTTCATTGAAGTATTTCATAGAAATGTGTCAGGAAGATGTCTTTGACGCAGGATGCAAATTCTAGGCAGAGGCATCGAAAGAAAGCCGTCCCACTGAAGTACCTGTAAGCGTTGATGTTAGGACGTGCCCACAGAGGGTGTCTGTATTCACCTCCCTGCCCTGGCTTATTTGCAGCTAGTGAATTAATGCTGGTTTCTATCCTGGGACTATCACCCAGCCACAGGGCTTCTCACTCAAACCAGATTTCTTTAACTGGAAACATTCCTACTTCAGTACAGTGTGGAAGGATCAGTCATTTCTAACCCTGCATTTTTTGTGTGAGATGACTCCTTGCTTTCTGGCCAGCCCACCTCAAAAGATACTTGGGTGTTTCTGAAAATTTTCACAGTTAGATGTGTGCCCTATTTTGATTCATATCTATGGAAGCTAGTTAATGCATGTAACATGATCAAAATGACTAGGAGTATCATTTGTCTCAGCTATTCCCAGTTTGGTAACATGAGGATATCAGAGAGGCCAAACAGGATCTTACCAATGGTCCACTGTTGTGGTTTGAGCCCAGAGGGAAACTGAGCAGCACGCAGCCACTCGCTCACCCCTTTCCCTTCAGGAATGGGAAGGAGAAAATACAGCAGAAGGCTCTGGAACAGGGGTAAGGATAGGAAGGGGTTGATACACCTGTTACGGCCATAGGCAAAAGACAGATTTGACTGGGGAAGAAAAAGAACATCAATTTAATTCAAGCACTAACAACAACATTTAACAAACAGAGTAGGACAGTTAGAAGCATTACCACACGTTAGAAACACCTTCCTCCCAGCCCTCCCTTCTTCCCAGGCTCAGTTTTTCTCCCAGTTTCTCTACCTCCTCCCCTGTAGTGGTGCAGGGGGCAGGGAATGAGAGTTGCCATCAGTCCCACCGCTCCTTCCTCCTCGGAGGGAAGACTCCTTGCATTATTTCCCTCTCCAGTGTGGAGTCCCTCTCATGGGAGACAGTCCTCCACAAACTTTCTACAACGAGTCCTTGAGTCCTTCCCACAGGCCACAGCCCTTCCTGAGCTGCTCCAGCGTGTGTCCCTCTCGTGTGTTGCAGTCCTCCCAGTGACAAACTACAACACTGCCCCCACTTCTTCCCACAGAGTCCTGGCCTTCTTCAGATGCATCCCCCTGCTCTGGCGGGGGGTCCTCCGTGGGCCGCAGTTCAGCATCTGCTCCACCGGTGCCGTCCATGGGTGGCAGGGGGATACAGGGGGGCTCTCTGCTCGGGCACATCTCCCCCGCTTCTTCCACCTTTCTTCCACTGACCTCGATGTTGGCATAGGTGTTCTCCTCACAACTTCTCCCCACAACTCCTCCCAGGCTCCTCTTCTTAAAAATGTTATTGCAGAAGCACATCTACCATTGCTAATTGGCTCAGCCTTGGCCACATGTGGGTCGGGCCTGGAGCTGGGGGGAGCTTCAAGAAGCTTCTCAGAGGGGCCATCGTTGTAACCCCCTTCCCTGCTACCAAAAACCCCCACCACACGCACAGACCCAGGACATCCATCTAGCTCAAGACCTTGCCTTCGGTAGGAAGCAACAAGAGATGCTAAGGGAAGAATATCAGAACAGAAACAGCAAGTATTTATTGAGTGTAATTCTCCAGTTTCCTTTGATTTGGGCTTGTGGGACTCCCAAACCAGAGGGAGTACCTTTCTGGTTTAATCCAGTTCTTTACACCCCTGACATTACAGAGTCCTGGCATCTTACTCTTATTACTACTATCTTTAATAAAATCACTAGAGCACAGCACTACAAAGGCTTCTATAGATTTCCAAAGTAGTGTTTTTTCAGAGCATCTCTTGTCACCGTGGAAACCGGCACAATCTATTTTAATCAGAGACAAAGGGAAGCAGCCTTCTCACCTTAAGGATGAAAGAATAGTTTCACTTGGCCAGGTCTTCCTCATGAAATTTGTTGCTCAAGCCTGACAGGTTGGGTGAGGTGGATCCTCACCTGCTGGCTCTGGCCTGGTGGATGCGCAATTTCTGGACAGCCACTAGCAGCAATTGTTTTCACCGTGGTTTGTACTGGAAATTAACTTTGACTTGCAAGGGAAAGATTTACAGTCTTGCCTATGAAATTTCATTTGACCCCTTAGAGCAGGCATTCTGCAGAGCACCAAACCCACCCTTTAGGAAGCGGAACATGGAGGTCCTCTAACATCATCACTGCTCCTCAGCCCTCCTTGACAGTGTGACAGTTCTGAAATGCAGGAAAATCCATATTACAAAGACCTTGCAGTGACTGGCAGCACCTACTGTTCTTGAAAAAAACAATTCAGGATCATTTGTTCATGGCTGAGCAGATACATACCTCACAAAGGCAGTCGATTTTCAAGAGAATAATGGTGATGTAGTTTTAAGGATGTCACATCATGCTTGGAGGCATGCAGAGGCCATGGTACTCTGTGACCTTGCAAGCTTTTAAGATTGCACATGGATGTGCATGGTCATCTCTTCAAACTGTAAAGCACTTGTGTTAAACTTACCTACTAGTAGACAACCAGATACTGTAGCGGTGATAACTATGAAAGAAAAAGAGATCAGTGAAGGCCAGTGAGGGAAAACCAGACAAATTAATCCCTTGTGTAAACAAGCTCAACCCAGATTAAATTTGGCCTATTATTTTCTAAGCTACATTTGTTTAGCTCACTAGTGCAACACTGGAAACCCACAGAGCTGACTGAGTTGGAAATGCTGAAATCTGCTGGGAAGGTCACATCATAATACGTAGGAGCACAGAGCATCCATTCATGCAGTGATACCATGCTATACAGTGTTACGAGACAGCAAAGGCAAAGACCTAACATTTCCCCAGGTAAAAGCAGGATCTATGAATGATTCACCTTTTGTGATGGGTTAAATATCTTGACATGTAGAAGTGAAATACTGCTTGGCTAAGACAGCACACTGTCAAGGCAGCCAGTAGTTTTTAAACAGGATAACATTGCAGAATGAGTGGATACTTCTGTAGGTTTGTCTTAGAAAGTAAATAAACCACTGCACTTCTCCATTAAATAGGTGTTCTTGGGCTACTGTGTCTGCATATCCTGGCATGTAGGTGGTGATGCACTTTCAAACATAACTTCAGTGCAATGCTCTGTTACCCTCGAGTTCCTAACAATGTCACTCTACAAACCATATCACGGTAGAATCTGCCTGATTATGCCTGATTTCCAGAGCACAGTTCACTGCTTTCATGTCTTCTGACCAAAGTTGCATCAATTCTCACAGGCTCCACTTCAAGCGGGTGCTTACCCTGTATTTGCATTGGCATGTGCTGCAAAGACCTTTGCACAAAAGGATGAAGGGGGAGAAAACAAGTGAACCAGAAAACCAGCAGTTCTAATTATTTATTGGCAGATATTGCAAGTGACTGCCTTTAGCAGAAAAATACAAAATATCCCAGGCCCTTGGTAATATTTATTTATCTACTTCTCTGCTGAAAGGAAATGATCTTGCTGAGAACTGAAAACCCATCCACATGGTCAGTGGAAATTCACCCTTGACAGAAGTCTGTGAGAACTGAAAACCTTTCTGGAAGACATTAATGGCCAGTTCTTCAAAGCTGCATAGGTACCCAGATGTCACTGAAATCCAGGGGTGTGAAGTATATCGATGCCTTTAGAAACTTCTGGTTTTATCCTCTGTGGGAACTGAGTTCATTTCTCATCAAAATTATCATTCATGTTTACATCCATGTGGTTTGCTCCCAGAACCTTGTCCTTAGCTTTTCAAGATCTAAGAGTGCTCAGAGAAGATGCACCATGATGTATTCCTAGTACCCTCCTGATTAAGGGTCTTAGACAGCAAAGATGCTATTGGGCTTCTTATTTTCAAAGAGAGACCCCTAAATATAGGGTTATTTAATGTCAGCTGAGTTGCACCTGAGTGCACACGTAAACATGCGAGCACATGTGGACGCTTCTAAATCATTTGATAGGGAAATGCAAAACCAGTAAATTGAGGTTACTGCATAACGCCATCAGCGCCCAAAGTATGAATCATCTTGTTGTTGGATGTTTTTTAAGTTTCCTCCGATGAATCACTCCCTCGCATTACACTTCAGTGTTATGTCTGTACTCCACATCTCAGCCCAAGCCAAGGGAGATGGGTGCCTGGGTCAGGGTTGACAAAGTTGTTTTTTAAAATTATATTTATTAGAATGTGTGTCCATTCATCATGATCCTAATCCAAGGCTGGGCACAGAGTGAAGTAAATAACACTCCAATATCACACTCCTAAAGCTGTTGCAATGGTATTGTTGGCTGTCATCATAAAATGGTCTTTTGAGGGAGCTGCTGTGTCTCTCTTATCCATCCAAGCCTTCTGCTCCTGCAACATATTGGAAGGTTTCCAAGAATAGCAATGTTCTTTTCTCATTTTCTTTCTCAAATAAAATTACTG